TTTATAAGTCTAACTGCTATTGCTATTGCTATGTCACACACACACACACACACACACACACACACACACACACACACACACACATTCTTCAAGAGCTCCAGAAGCACAGCTAATGTACTCTCTTCACATTTCCCCCCCCCCCAACAATTCTGGAATGGAACAACTTGTGCTGGCCAACTTGCCACGAGACAACTCAACATGAGATAATTCAACAGAGGGACAAGTAGAATTGCAGCTCACCCCCAGCCTTGAGGACTTCTAACTTTAGAAGGTTCAAATCTAAAGCAAGACAAGGCCCACTGCAACTAATTCGTCTCTCTCTTGAGTTATGTTGAATTGTCCCATAACAAGTTGTGCTGTGGTGAGTCAGCCCGAGCAAGATAGCCAGGACAAGTTGGCCAGGGCAAGTTGTCCAAGACCCCACCTAGTAGTAGGTGGGGCTGAGAGAGAGTGACTGCCCATATATTCCTCTGCTTTTGAGGCTTTCTCTCTTTTTTTTCATTTTTATGACACCTTTATCAACCAAAGTTTTAATTGTTTTGCGGTTGAAAATATTAAAATCACTTTTTTAAAAAAGACTTTTCCACCCTGCTGAGAAAATTATTTGCTCAGCAGAAAATACTGATGGAGGAGTGGGGGGGAATTTCCAAAGAAGTGTGCTGAGGATTGCAAACTTTAAGGCATGCCCAGACTCACCCAGGTCACAGGGTACATCTTTTACCAGAGCTGGGACACCCAGGGCCAGTGATATGTTTGCATATGTCACTGAGGAAGTTAAACGTTGACAAAAGCCTCTCCTCCCGAGTCTAATGTGATTACAGTCGATAGACCATTGCTGCTATTTTAAAAACCATTTTTAGGAAGGAAGGCAGGGTAGTACTGGCTGGTTCAAAGTAAACAGAGCCAAACCAGTTTTTATTACATAAAGGTGTAAAGTCCATGCATGCTAGTATTCCATGTTTCAAATGAAATAGCAAGCCAAATATAGTCAGCTTTCTATGTTTATATGTAGGCGTGTGTATATGTCTTCTATGACGTACAGTTCTAGTCTTGCACATAAGTGTGTGTGTGTGTGTGTGTGTGTGTGTGTGTATCATATCTTATATCTGTGGTACTATTCAAGCAGTTGCCTACTTCGAAGCTAGTATTATATATGCCTAAAAGCATTGCTTTCCTTCCTCCGTCTCCCCTTTTTTCAAATTGGTGTACAGTGTGTGCTTTCTTATTTTTTTAGGATTATTAATAAGATCTAGTCTGATCCTAATTTAGATATAAGTATTTTACCATTCCAGACTTGGAGAACATTTACTCGCTTTCCAGTGCTAGGCAAATACAAAAATTTAGTGGTTGTTGCTGCATTTTGTGGAGTCTCATCAGTTGTCATGAAGTCCAAAGTTGACTCTTTACAGTTGTAGGCAGCATTCTGTCTGAAAAAGTAATCCTTGTATGAAAGAACAATTGTACTATGTACTACTTAATTCTGCTGAGCAAAATGGTTTAAATATTGCAATAACAAGTCACCTTCTAGTAAGTATCTAGGACATTTATGTAGTTTTCTTGGTAACTATACAGAATTGGTGAGCCATCACCATCTTATATGATGATGTTTTTACTTTCTAATGTAGTCCGCAGGTTTAAGATTCTTAACCATTAACCATCTCATTAACCAGATCCAATTCTCCATAGCTGTCTTGGCATAACTATCACCATCTTTTTCTACTTGATATTTTTTTTAACTTCAAAAGCATCATATTGGGGATCTCAAGCAAAGGTCAAAGGAATCTTGTTTTATAGAGTGACAACAGCAAAGATCAAAGGGTTCATTTTTTATAGAATGACAGCAGCAATAATGCATTTGTAGAATAATTAATTTAAGTGATATTTGAAGGCTTCTGAACATATGTAAAGTGTACACCCACAATCATAATTGCACCTGGTTTAAGGGAATGGTTTTTCAGCTCAGAAAGTGTAATTTTCAAATAAACAATTAAGTAATATCCACATTGAATGTAATATACAGGAAGCTCACCCACACAATTCCCACTAAAATTAATTTTGCCATACTAATGGTAATAAACTTCCTGGTAGATTATGCATTGGCTGATTATTCATCCCCTCCCTAGATTTATTGGATTCCTTTCCCCCAGGGGAAAAAATAATCCAACATATCACTCCTGATGTTAATAAAAAAAATAACAACTAAAAAAACAGAAGATTTGCAACCATTCATACATTGTTGGTATGTGTTGCTTTTAAAATTTTTTACAGAATTGTGTCAGAACAGCACTTCTGAGTATTTGTGGCTTTGTTTATTATTTTTCCAGGATGTAATTTTTTATTTTATAAATACTGTGTCTCACTTTTTTCTCTTTTTCTTTTTAATTTCAGGCTTTACAATGGTTGATACCGAAATGCCGTTTTGGCCCATGAACTTTGGTATTAGCCCAGTTGATCTTTCTACAATGGATGAACACTCCCATGAATTTGACATAAAGCCCTTCAGCACTGTTGATTTTTCCAGCCTTTCTTCTCCATATTATGAGGACCTTCCTCTTGCAAGAACTGACCAGATAGCCCTTGACTATAAATATGATGTGAAATTTCAAAGTTGTCAAAGTACGTAAACTTTTTATTGCTTGATCATTATAGTTATTAGGAGAGTGTTCAGCTTTAGTTGGTATCAAACACCATAGCTTATAAATTAACAGCTTTACATCAGGGGCTTTAAGGTTGTGAAACCTGTTAGTTTAAAAAAAAAGAATTCCCAAGACCCCTGATCAGGAGGCAAATATCAAATGATTCCTTAAGTCTCACAAAATTTCATCAACTGAACACAATTTGAAAAATCTTATTTTATATAAACTGGGATTCAGATAAAATATACATTCTTCCATGGTAAAAGGCCACCGATTGATTGATAGGGGGTTGATAAGTTATATGATATAAATTCTTATTTTGTTGCTATGTTACATCAAAAAAAATGAATTTGTAGGCCACTAGGACCTGCAAAAAAGACTCTGGTACAATCAATACATATTTTAAGATTATAGTTATTTCCTTAAATAAGAAAAAAAAGCTGTTGCTTTGCCTTTGCAACAAAAAAGAATAGAACTATCACTTTGTGTACATTTAATCAATTTAAAAGTTTGGGAAATGATTTTTTTTGATTCCATGGAGTAACTTGCAGGAGGGTCCAGGAATGGTTATTATGTCCTAATCTGCCCAGAGACTGAGTCATAATTGTAGCCATGCCTCTTTGACTTGGCTCCTGTTTTGACTCAGTCTGGCCCAAGAGAGACCTATATTTCTTGGCTCCTGAGTATTCCCATTCCTGCATCTTCCTGCACCTATTCCTTCTTTTAAGAGCTTTTAAGGACTGTAAACTATATCAAAGATGAACAAGGGTACATATCTTTAATATATACATATGGTAACCACCATCCTTTAATCAACTGAGGTTGTAGCCTCCTGAAACTTCACCCCATTTAGTTGTTTTGGGAATGTATACTAAAGGATATTATTCCCATTTTGTAGTATAGGGTCTGGAAGAATCAGCAAAATATATGGGCAAATCTCAACTTGTAGCTCCTTCCCCTGGACACTGGCCTTTTCAGTCTTTGTTTCACAAAAAATCTAGTTAAAAAAAAAGAAAATATTGGGTTTGCTATAGTTGAAACTATGTTTTGAATTGGATTTCAGATTCTGCTTTAGAAATGTAATATACAGTAATTGGTGGCCACCAATGTTTTACTTTGGTTTTTACCACTAGAATGGCAAGGTTAGCTAATTCAGACTCCCATTTGCTGATTTCAGTAACTATGTATATCTAATTCTATTTTTTTAAATATCTGAATCTTGAATGTATTCAGATTTGCAATACTAATTAGAGCAATTGGTAATAATCAGGGATTTGGTTAATTCTTCTTTTGAAATCTTCCTCTTATTCAGATGCAATTAAAGTGGAGCCTCCGTCTCCACCATATTTCTCAGAAAAACTTCAGATGTATAGTAAACCTCACGAAGAAGCCTCTTGTTCTCTCATGGCTATTGAATGCAGGGTGTGTGGGGACAAAGCTTCTGGGTTTCATTATGGAGTGCATGCATGTGAAGGTTGCAAGGTAGGTAATTGTAGTAATGCATGATTCTTTTTAAAAAAGTTTCTTTATCTCTTTAAAATGCTATCAGCCCTTACTGTAATGTTAATAGTCAAAGATAAGAATTTCAAATTCACCAAATTCAGGAGTGCCATATACTTCTAGTTTATTTCTTTTCTAATATATGTACTGCTCCTCATTATTTTGCATTAATAGAATCTAAAACATCATCTGAGGTAGTTTTAGCTAAAAAGTTCCTTGTTTGCTTTAACTAACAGGAAAATGACAATAAGGAACTTACTTTTCCAAAGTATGTTTTGTTTTGTATTTGTCTTGTTGGAATATTGCACTTCAGCTTTTATCTGCCCCTTAGTATACCCCGAGAGAGCAAGCACATTGAGGTTTTTTATAGCAATTCTAAGAATGTGATTTAAATAACATTTTTAAAATTGTTAGAAAGCTAACTTTATGCTGTTGAATCACATTTTTAGAACTGTTAGGAAAAAAACTACATTGGTAAATGTGCTTGCTCTCTCGGGGTATACTAAGGGGCAGATAACAGCTGAAGTGGAATATTCTAACAAGACAAATATATTTCAAACAGGAACAAAGCCAAAGTAAGAAAATGTTTCTCATGCACTTCATCCAAGCTTGAGAAATAAATACAACTCTTTGAGATATGTCACTGTAGACCCCCTCCAAGCATATTCAATATTAACATTTTATCACATCAAACAATTTATTTTAAAAAAACCCTTCTCTTTTAAACAATCACATCATTTCCCCAGAAACTATAATTTAATACAATTTATTAAGTGAATATTTAAAATGTTTTGCAGAATTATAAATAAGAAGGCAGGAAATTATTCGATACAATACAATACAATAGCAGAATTGAAAGGGACCTTGGAGGTCTTCTAGCCCAACCCCCTGCCTAGGCAGGAAACCCTATACCATTTCAGACAAATGGCTATCCAACATCTTCTTAAAGACTTCCAGTGTTGGGGATTCACAACTTCTAGAGGCAAGCTGTTCCACTGATTAATTGTTCTGTCAGGAAATTTCTCCTCAGTTCTAAGTTGCTTCTTTCCTTAATTAGTTTCCACCCATTGCTTCTTGTTCTACCCTCAGGTGCCTTGGAGAATAGTTTGGCTCCCACTTCTTGTGGCAACCCCTGAGATATTGGAACACTGCTATCATGTCTCCCCCAGTCCTTCTTTTCATTAAACTAGACATACACAGTTCCTGCAACCATTCTTCATGTTTTGGTCTCCAGTCCCTTAATCATCTTTGTTGCTCTTCTCTGCACTCTTTCTAGAGTCTCCACATCTTTTATACAACCCAAACTGAATGCGGTATTCCAAGTGTGGCCTTACCAAGGCATTATAAAGTGGTATTGACACTTCATGTGATCTTGATTCTATTCCATACATATGCACACACAAATTCTCTATTTAGTATACTTAACTCTTGTAGATATCTTAATTAAGCTCCAATGAGCTTATCATAAAGTAAATTCTACTGGAATTTTAAAAAGTTCCTTTTATGTTAATGCAATATTTAAAATGCACATAGACACATATCGTATTGCTTTGTTCTGAATGAATACTGAGAACACAGATTTCAACAATATTAAAGATTGTGATCAAATCCACAATACAATGAAAATATTTCTAGCCAAAAATACATGATTGTCTTTCAAATTAAATCTGATATGGTGGGAAATTCCTTAAGTCTAATATATTTTGTATTCCTTTATTTTTATTAAAGGGTTTCTTTCGCAGAACAATCCGTTTAAAATTAATCTATGATCGATGTGATCTCAACTGCCGCATTCATAAAAAAAGTAGAAATAAATGTCAATATTGCCGATTCCAAAAGTGCCTTGCAGTTGGAATGTCTCATAATGGTAAGCATCTGAATTTCTGGTTAGTTGATTGGTAATGGTGTGTCAAGAGAATGGATTACATTTGTTATCTATGAAAACTTTCTCCTCTCCTGCAATCATGAGATTCTGTGCATTTCGAATATACAGAGTTTATAACAGGGTTCAGCAGCTCTTTATATAGAATGTGGCATCCTATGTGACCTGCACACACAAGTATTCTTAAGTGCAATTTCTATTGTTTTAATAATCTCACTTCCATTATATCTCATAGGAACATAGACATGTCATGAAATGCTAAAAGAGTAATTAAATATATATATTTTAAATATAATCTGGAGGATCCATGGAGCCTTGTGCCTGCATACCTTATCTTGTCAATCCCAAATTCAACCAAGTTTTAAAAAAAACCGACAACGCATTGCAAGATCTAGGCATATGCTCCTTTGAGTTTGGCACTTAGATGCAATGCCCATAGAAAGATGTTTAATAATGTCAGGGGCTACAAACCGTGTTAATCCTTCCTAGTCATGCAAAATATTTTTTAAGACCTCAAGACTAGGGCTGCTGAATGTGAGCAACGGCTCTTCCAGTCCTGGCAAAGGAGCATATCCTTGGAGTGCTGGTTTATATGATAGCACAAGCAAATGATCTTGGTGGAATGAAGAAGCATGTTCACCCAGCAGAACAGCTGGAAGAGATCAGCTGGTGTTTTGGTTGCTATGCCTATTACACACAACCGTTATCTTTCTTTGTATTCCCATTAACTATCACTGTTAGTTTTCCCTAAATTGTTTTCTGTTCTCCTTTACCACACTATGCCTTTTGGTATCCTAGCCATATTTTAGAAAGAAATCATATCCTTCTAGTGTGGTGTTTCTCAACTTGGTAACTTTAAGATATGTGGACTTCAACTCCAATGGCTGGCTGGGGAATTCTGGGAGTCCACATATCTTAAAGTTGCCAAGATTGAGAAACACTGTTCAAGTGTCAGTGTAATATATAGAATATGTATTATTGGTAACATATGAAGTGATTGATAACATATGAAGTTATAAATCTACTATTGTCCAATACTGTAATGTGTTTGTTGACTGCTGGGAGCTTATATTCTAGGTCAGCCCTGAGTACTTAATTCTTCATATATTTTTTGGAAAATAGGAAGGTTCACAATAAAATATAAATATCCTCTTGAGTTTTATGTAGGTTTTTTAAAATAGTGAATATTTGGCTCATGTAGGTTATTCAGTAAATATTTGGCTTGAAAAGCTTTGGATTTCTTATTCTACTTCCCTGCCCCTATTACTTCCTCTTCCATTGCTATATCTTATTATGTCATTAACCTTGTTTCATTTGGTTATTTAGATACCATTTTTATTAACTGGGATTATATAATCATATGTTTTTTCTGCTTGTGAGTCTGAAAGCCCTTTTTGTTTCTGACTCATACATTGTTTTACATCATAAACTAAGTAGATCATTCAGTGCAATAACATTAACATTTCCAAAATCAGATGTTCTTTCTTTCTTTCTTTCTTTCTTTCTTTCTTTCTTTCTTTCTTTCTTTCTCTTTTTTCCATCCTTCTTTCCTTCCTTTTTTCCTTGTTGAAACTTATTTTCACTTCTGTGTTAAGTCTGGGGAAATATTAATCCATTTTAACTATGGTGAGATGAAAAGTTTTTGCCTTTTATATGCAAAATTATTAATGTAGTGCCTAGCTTTTGGTAGAATAAGATTTTTTTTCTTCCAAAGAGTTGACAGATTAAAGAGATGAATGGCATTTCTACACAACCATCAGCCGTGTCTTTCATAGTCTTTCCTGCATTTTTATGCCACTTCATGTATAGCCTAGATAGTCAGCCATTGCATCTGTATGGTCACTGAAAGAATGCAGTGAAAACAGTACAAATGGTTATTATTGTTCAGGGAGAGAGCAGAAGGGACCTTCATGGCAGGAGGGAATGATAAAATCCATAGTATCAGAAGACAAGTCAAGACTGGAATTCTTACTAATGGGAAATCACCCATAGTACAACTCCAGAGGAAATGCAGCGAAATGATCTTCACAACATTTTTGCTTCAGTTGGAGCTGAGTTAGCAGCTACTTGGCTTAGCTTTCCACCCCACACTTAAGTCCTCCAGTTTCATGGGCTTACAATTGGTGCCATTCTCAGAGGAAGAAAGTTACACTCTAATGCCATTTTATCCAGTCTGAGGAAAGAAAAAACATCTGATGGCTTTATATTAATTGGTGGCAACAGAAAAGCACTATAGGATCCCCTGATTTTCCAGGAGAGGAGAATTATGCTTTGCAATGTGATTGCAATGGCTCTAAGCTGGCAAAACTTGTGATAACATTCTTTGGCAAGAAGTCTCAAAATTCTGTGATCTGGGTTTGAACTATCTGAATTTGACCTTGTTATGGGAGTACTTTTCATGAAGTAGTTTATTTGCTGCTACTTATTTGTTTATTAAATTTATATGCCACCCATTTTTCCCACAGGGTGATTCTGGGTGGCTAGTAGAACATAGAAAATGAATTAAAAGCTTTAAAACTATGCGGAAAACTAGAATCCAGGAGACAAATAGTAGGAGGATGAAGTCTTCTTCTTCCATCAATCACCTCCAAATTCCCCCTTGTGGTTCCAAGCCAACAGGCAAAATCAAGTTTTAATATTCTTCCAGGAGTCCAAAAGAATGGGGACAGTTCTCCCCTACAGTGGTAGAACATTCCACAGGTCAGGGCCACATAGGAAAAGACTCTTCTCTTTGACCGTTTCTGCCGGAATTGCATAGCAGAAAGGGTATGTAGCAAACCTCTTCTGCTGGAAGCCTTGACAATGTAGAGAAGTATTTCTGGTAAGGGAAGTTAATGTTGTTTCATGTATTCATTGGCAGTCCGACAAAGCCATATCTGATTTACTCCAAAGCATTGTGATATCAGTGCACTCATTAAATGATTCCAATCAGTAGGCAGAGAATGGGATGCCAACAAAACAGTACAGAACAGAACAGAACAAAAAATATATAGTATTTTGTACAAATACAACCCCCCCAAACACATCCTGGATCTAACCAACCACTGCCTATCTAACACATACTTTATTCACAATGGACAAAGATACAAACAGATGGAAGGAGCACCCATGGGATCACCCCTCTCACCTGTCATTGCCAACCTCTACATGGAAAACTTTGAAACCCAAGCTCTAGAAAAATCTGATCACAAACCTAAACTCTGGCTCAGATATGTAGACGACACTTTCATAATCTGGCCACATGGGAATAAAGTATGTGTTAGATAGGCAGTGGTTGGTTAGATCCAGGATGTGTTTGGGG